TGCCCGCCCGATCGACCTCCACAAGCGCGTGGCGCGCGCTCAGCGGCGGCGGCGGCGGCCCTCACCGCGGAAAAGGCTCACGAGCCGCTCGAGCGCGACGCGCGCGGTGCCCGTCTCACTTGCGGGCTCGCCGAGCCGTTGGGCGACGTCCGAGTGACCTATGCCGGCAGAGGACGAGGCGATTCGAGCATGGGTCTGGGAGATTGAGGATGGGAGGCCAGCGAGTGCAAGAGGTGTGCGCCACAGCGGTGAGGAGAAGGGGCGCCGCCGCGGACGTCCTGTTGCCCCGCGGACTTGAGGCCGATGGCAGCCCGCCTCCCTGTCTCTGTCTCTCCATCTAGGCTGCGCGGCCGAGCGAGAAGTCGGGGTCGAGGACGTCGCGCACGCGCTGCTTGAGCTCCTTTGCCTCTGGAAAGCGGCCCTCCTGCTCACACCTGGAGGCGTGAAGAGACGACGTCCAGGCCCACACCTCCCGGGCGGCAGTGCTCCTCGGCGCGGTTCCACACGAGTACGCTGCCAGCGCCTGGATCAAAAGGAAGTCCGCTTGGAATGTGGGGTGTGTTCCACCCGAGGGCGCGGACCGCGCCCTCGGTTGTCAGCGTCACGTTGAAGACACCCGCCTCGACCGCATTCGGCAGCAGGCGCACCTGAGCGGTGGGCCGGCGGGCGGACAGGTGCTGGGACGCGCAGCGAGGAAGTGGCGATTTTTTCCGCGGTACCTCTGCGAGACTGGCGTTGAACGTGGTGAGGAGCTCCTGCCCTAGCCAGGCAGAGCGCAGCATCCAGTTGCAGCGCGAGCAGTACTCTATCCCCAGCGATGGTGTGCGCACGAGTTGCGGTTGCTGCTGCTGCGGAGGATCGCATCGCCGCTGGCCGAGCGTGCGAAAGGGCGTTTTCGTCGGACTGCACACGAAGCTTGCCTGGCTCTCACTTAGGCAGGACGCGAGGCAGATGAAGGCAGCTAAGCGCATAGCGAGACGAAAGCAAAATAACGTGTGGGGACTCAGCGGAGCTGGGAATAGGACCGCCGCGAGCGGCGTGGCGTGGAGCGGTTGAGCATCCCTCCGGGGGCCCCTCTGCGCCGGGGAGGCGTTGTTGGAGGCTAGGACGCAAGCGTCCGTCGCCCTTTTCAAACTCGGGGCCCACTCCGCTACGCTCCGACCCGAATTTGGAGGGCCTAAAAGTTTAAGGTGTTGCTGCGCAAAAAGGGGTCGGACACCGGGCGCAGCTCATGCTAAGAGCTAGAAGGGGAGCTAGAGAGAACGACTACCCTGTCCCGTTATTGCGTACACCAACACCACAAAAGCTCTCTCTCTCCTGTCCTCACTCAGAGCACAGAGGGGGGTCACAACTACCGAGTCTCTCGACTAGCTGCCACGTTGCCGACCGAGAGCGGATCTCCTCCTGCTCCGCAAGGAGGGTGGCCAAGGCTAAAGTCTTGCCGGAGCCGCCGGGCGCGTTGACGACTTGGAGAAGGTCGCCCTTGTACTTGTACTTGTAGAGATGCCTGCCCTGGCCTTCTGTCTGCCCGCCTCATGGGTGGCAGGTGCCTCTGCTGCTGTGGCATGCCTCACGGCTGCGACTGGCCGGCGCCTCGGCGCGTCAGCTCGGCTTGGCGCAGCGATCGTGGCCAGCGCAACTCGCCTGGACTCAACGCTCAGCCAGGAGAGCTCCCGCACGCGCTGGCGCGAGTCATGGCGCAGACAACGCGTCTGAATGCTCGCCTCGCCTCGCGCAAATGCGACCGTCCTCGCAGCCGACAGTCCACCGCCTGAAGCACAGCGACGAATGCGGCACCGGCGACGCATGGCAGGCTGGTCATGACGAAGTTGTAGGGTGTTGTGTGTCGTCAGAGTGACTCTCTGTGTGTCAGGGATAGTCAGGGCCGTCCATCAGAGCTCCAGTAAGCTCGGAGACACCCCATTAGTGCGGCTCGACCTCTTTGAGTCACTGCCTTCCCGGCGGTTTGGCTGTAGAGCCTCTACAGCAAACTCTACAGCAAAATCGCGCTCTACATCGCTCTACAACGCAGGCGCTTCGTCCCGCGGCGGATGTAGAGCTCTACAGCTCTACTGCGTGTTCCTGTCTGTTTAGGGTCTTTGTGCTCCACGTTGGTGTGCACCGTCCGTTTGCTTGGGCGGCGAGAAGCGCCGTCTTTGCGGCGTCTGTCGCGCGGCGGAGGGAGGGGGGGCGGTTCGGCGGCGATGGGAAAGGACGGCGTGGCGGCGCCGCAAGCGCGTTCGGTCGCGCGCGCCCCGAGGCCGCCGTCTTCGGTGCAGCGTTCGTGCCTGACTGAACTGCTGTTGCGAACCCTTCTGTGAAGAGGGCCTGTCTAGACAGCTGTACCGCCCCCCCCCCCCCCCCAAACGGCAAGTAGAGGGCGGCAAGCGGTAAATGCGGTATGTGGGTGGGTGGGCTGGGTGAGTGGGTGGGTAGTGGCCTCGGCAGCGCCAGGGGTGCTCTCAGGGTCGTCCAGCCACGACTACGAGACTTAACTGTGAAGAGTGGAGCCATGTGCCACTGTCTGGACGCTGTCTGGACACTGTCTAGACGCTGTCTGGCGTTGTCTGGACGTTGTCTGGACACTGTCTGGACAGGCTCAGGACTGTCTAGACATCTGTGGGAGCTCCACAAACCAGGTTAGTCCGACACACATCGGTTGACGGGGTGTGCCGAGGGAGGAAGGGTGGGCGGTAAGCGCTAAGCCGTCACACGATCGCCTGCGCCCGCCGGCGCCGCCGCTCGAGACCTGCTGGCGCTTCCGCGCTGGCTTGCCCTTGCGCAGCGCTCTCTACGGCTTTCCCTTTCATGGGAGATGGGGGGGGTGCTGGTGGCGGCGCTCCAAGAGTAGCGCTCTTGGGAAGATCAAGGTCGTTCATCCTTTCCGCCCCCCCCCCCCCCCCGCGCCAAGGCGCGAGACACAAGGTAAGGTAAGGTAAGGTAAACTTCTCCACACACACGAAGTGGTGGGGCAAGGGGAGGCAACCCTCGCGTCTCCACGTCTGACGATAGGAGCCCCACGGCATTCAAAATGCAAGGCCCAGTGCGCGTGTGTGAGGTGTGTGTGTGTGTGTGTGTGTGTGTGTGTGTGTGTGTGTGTGTGTGTGTGTGTGTGTGTGTGTGTGTGTGTGAGTGAGGGGGGGTGTCACGTCACTGCATCCTCTGCCGGTTCCTCTCGTCGCCTCTTCTTTGTTCGAATGTGTTTCAATCCACCCTTCACGAAGCCCTCCCATGTAGCTAGCGTTCTTTGCGAATGTCTCGAAATGGCCAGCAGGCGTTGTCTGCTCGCGGTCTGTGCGGGCCGCTCGTCCTCCTCGCCCTCCTTTCGTCCTCCCGTCCCTCCCCTCCACCATGGCCTTCTCGGCACTTCTTTCTCCATCCGCCTCGCCCTGCCTTTTCGTATCGTGCCGTTCGCCCTCCATTCGGTGACCTCCATGGCTGAGGCTGTCCTCCTCCTTTTGGGTGGCGCTCTCGATACGGTTGCGTCAACCTCGACGTCGCTGTCGCCCTCCCCGTCCCCGCCGTCGCCCGTGCCTCGGTTCGCGTCATCGGTAGCGTCTCCGTTGTTCCCTAGCTCGTGCCCCGCCGTCGCCCTCTCTGCTCGGGCCGTTCCTAGGGCCGTTCGCAATTTCGTCCCTCCTTGCCTCCTAACGTCCGTGTCGCCCCTGGGCCCTGCCCCCTCCGTCTACTCTCCCCTTCTCAAGTTCCGTCGAGACACACTTACTGAGTGAGACTCACAGCTCACACACTAATTCTTCATCCGTTGCGCGTTGGTAGAGCCGTCGTACACGGCTTTAGAGTACAACAATCAACATGCCATCATGCCGACACGCGACACACACACACACACAGCGCGATAGGGGGGCGGCTCTCTTCTCTTCAGCCACACACACAGTGCCGTACACAACACAAGAGTAGAGGGCCGCTGTCATGGACATGGCTGAGCCGCGAGCCCAGTTGGTCGCTCCCACGAGCTCGCCCCGCTCGCCTCGTGGTAGTAGTACTAGTCGTAGTACCTATTCCCCCCCTCGTCCCGCGCCTCCGCCCATCCCTCCCATATCGCGCCGGCGTATCCGGTCTCTTGGCGGCGGTGCGCGACATAGGACGCCGCCGGATACGCCTTCAGTGCGAAAGGAGGGGGAGGGGGGGGGGTAAGCGGGGGGGTCAGAGGGAGGGGGGGGGTCCGGAGGGGGGTTCACGGCTGAGAGGACGCGTGAGTGTGCGAATGAGCAGGCAGCGGCTTGACGATCGAGTCCGAGAGACATCTCCGGAGAATCTCGAGGGGCCATGGGCAGCCTCGGGCACTCTCGCGCCTCGACGGCGGCCAGCCTCTCGGGTACCCTCGCCTCCTCCCGGCCAATCTCGGCCAATCTCGGCCAATCTCGGCCAGCCTCGGCCAATCTCGGCCAGCCTCGGCCAGCCTCGGCCAGCCTCGGCAAAGCTCGCCTGCAGCGGCTTGACGAGCCGGGCAAGGCCGCGGCGGATGTACGGCGGGCGGGGCAGCACGAGGTCGGTGGCCCGCTCGACGAGCCGCTCGAGCGGGCCCTGGCGCGCGCGGTACCTGAAAGGAAGACGCAGCGCCGTGGAGGCAGAGGCGGGCGGCGGGGCGGGGGCGGCAAGTGTCGGCGGCATCTCGGCGGTATCTCGGCGGCATCTCGGCGGCATCTCGGCGACGTGTCGGCGACGTGTCGGAGGCGTCTCGGCGGCATCTCACACAACCGCGGGCCCCAAGATAGCGCGCACACGAGAGTCGCGAACAGACAGGCAGCGACGACAGTAGGACACACTGGGCCCCAGGAGGCGAAGGTGGCTACGGCGTCCATGCGTGTGAACTCCTCATTTCACAGACACCGCGTGTGAGACGCCCAATCGGTGAGCTCCTCCATTCACAGAGGGCGATCGTGGCTACGGCGTCCCACCGGAGGACGAGGCGTACAAACTCGTCAAAGGAGACTGCGGCCGAGTGGTCGAGGTCGGCCTGCGATGCACATCTGCTTCAATTAGATCTGGCAGACACCTCGTATGAGTCTTGTCTCGGAGGGGTCGAGGTCGGCCTCTGTGAAGAGGGCGTCGCACTCGAACGGGTGCGGGTGCATCCCGCTGTCGAGCATCGCGCTGCGGCAAGGGCAAGGGCAAGGTAAGGCGAAGGGCAGGGCAAGCGGGCAAGGTGGGGTGAGGCCGAGGCACGGGCGGGGCAGGGCAAGGCGACGGCGAGGCAGGGCAAGGGCAAGAGCAAGGGAAGGTGGAGGCGAGGCAAGGGGAAGCCTGCGGAACTCGCCGCGCCCGAGCGCGCCCGACTTGTCCGCGTCGTAGTGGCGGAAGGCGAGCCGGAGGCGGTCGAGGTCCTACGGGGAGATACGGGGAGATACGGGGAGATGTAGAAGGCGAGCCGGAGGCGGTCGAGGTCCTACGCCGTGAACACGCCAAGGGGGGAAGGGGGGGGGAGGGGGAGCACGGGGAGCACCACGGGGAGAGACCCCCCCCCCCCCCCCTCCACATCTAGGGCCGCATTCCTCGGTCGAGTCCAGCCCGCTCCCCGTCGGCCCAAACACCGCGCGGAGGAGAGCGGCGGCGGCGCCGCCCTCGCCGCCGCCGCCCTTGCCGTCGCCCTTGCCACCGCCGCCCGTGCCGCCGCCCAAGGAGCTCCTTGCGCTCGGGCCGGCGCGAGACGCCTGTTGTCGCCCGCTCGCCCCCGCCCCCGCCGCCCCCGGCACCGCTCTCGCCGTCGCCATCGCGTTTGCCGTCGGGGCAGCAACAACACCTCCCTCCGCCGTCGCCTGCGCCGCCCCGGTCGCCTTTGCCCTCGCCGTCGACATCCACGCACCTGCCGCCGCCGCCGCCGCCGCCGCCGCTGCCCTCACCGCCTGCGCACGAGATGCGGGGAGGTGTGGGGAGATATGGGAGATACGGGGAGATACGGGGAGATACCACCACCTGCGCCGCCGAAGGGGCGTCTGGCGCTCCTCTGTCGCTGCCAGTCTGCGACGCCGACGGCCCCAGCGTTGACAGCGTGGAGCCTACGAGCTGAGCACGCCAGCATCGGGGCGGGAGTGCGGTGTTGTGCAGAGTAGTTGGAGCACTGTGTGAGTACGAGGGGCGCGAGCACAGCGAATACCGCGGAATACGGCCGAGTGCAGCGGAGTGCGTGTCCTCTCGAGCGCCGGTTTGGAGCACAAGAATGCGTTCTTCCGCGTCTAGGGATCGAGATACGGGGGAGATACGGGGAGATACGGGGAGATATGGGGAGATATTCCGCGTCTAGCGCGTGGCGCTTCCGGCCGCGGAGACGTGCGACATATGCGGCGAGGCGGGGGAGGACGGCGAGGGAGGGGAGGGCGTCGAGGATCCGAACGGCCGGGGCGGCGAGAAGGCGCTGCTGCGCGTCGAAGTTCCGAACGGGTCGTCGCCGTCGTCGTCCGAAACGGACGACTGAGGGAGAGGGGGCGGCGGAGGCGGCGGAGGCGGCGGAGGCGGCGGAGGAGGGGGAAGCAAGGATGGTCCAGCGGCGGTAGAACCAGCCCGCGCCGCCGCCGCCTCCGGGCACTCCATGCTACCTCTCCGCCTGTCCATCCTGCGTGCCACGGACGTGTCATGGACGTGTCATGGTCGGGGTGAGCGGCGAGGCGCAGGCGAGGGTATGAGAGAGCGGTGAGGGGTAGCGAGGGTGGGATAGCGACGGTGAGCTATGGTGAGCGAGACCAGTCAGGAGAAGGGGGGGGAGGCTCTCCGTCGGGTATCATAGCGATACGGTATCATGAACCTGCCCCGGCCCCGCAACAGCTCCTGCTCGGCCGGAGGGGGCGGCGGCGACGGCGGCGGTGGAGGGAGATCCCCTGCCGCTGTCGCCTGCGCCGCCGCGTCTGCCGCTGCCGCCGCCACCTCCGCCTCCGCCGCCTCCGCCGCCGCCGCCTCTCTCTTCTTGCGCTCGGCTCTCGCAGCCTCGACGCGCCGACGCGCCTCTGCCGCCTTGGCCCGCCGCACTGCCTCTGCCGCGTCCGCCTCCGCCGCCTCGCGCCTCCGCGCCTCCTCCGCCTCCTTCGCCTTGCGCTCTGCGCGCGCCGCCTCCACCCGCCGCGCCGCCGCCGCCTTCTTCTCCCTCCGCGCCGCCTCTGCCGCCTCCGCCTCCGCCTCCGCCGCCTTTCGCGCCGCCGCCGCCGCCGCTTCTTCCGCCCCGCGTCGCTCGCGCGACGGCGTCCGCCTCCGCCCTCCGTTCCCCGGCGGCGCGGGGCGCGGGTTACTGAGCAGAGAGTGCTCGAGCGGCCGCTCGGGCGGCGGAGAGCGGCCGCGCCGCTCGTCCGCTGCTGCAGCCTCCGCCGCCGCCGGTGCGGGTGATGGCGCAGGCGCGGGCGGGGGCGGGGGCGCGGCTGCCGGCGCGGGCGCGACGGGCCGCTTCAGCGTCGTCGCCTTGGTTTCGGCGTGCGTGTAGTAGGTGGAGCCGTCGGGCGCCTTGGCCTCCGACCACCCAGGGAGAAGCGGGCCGTCCGGCTTCTTCTTTGGGCCGCGTGGAGCGGTCGCGGCCAGCGTAGCGCCGCCGAAAGATCGCCTCGTCGGCGCCGCGCGAGGCTCGCCGGCGCTCGGCACCGCGTGCGCCCGCTTTGGGTAGCCGCAGACGCAGTCGCCGAAGCGCTCGGCGGTCACGTCAATTCGGTAGTCGCTGCACGCGGCGGCGGCGGCCGACAGGTCGGACGCTGCCGACGACACGGTCGCCGCCACTCGCGCTGACTTCCATGACATCGCTGAAGAGGGTCGCTCACAATAAGAGCGCCGCGTTTCACCTAAAAGAATTTTACAATCGAACGCGCTGCGGAGCTGGGAATAGGACCGCCGCAAGCGGCGTGGCGTGGAGCGGTTGAGCATCCCTCCGGGGGCCCCTCTGCGCCGGGGAGGCGTTGTTGGAGGCTAGGACGCAAGCGTCCGTCGCCCTTTTCAAACTCGGCGCCCACTCCGCTACGCTCCGACCCGAATTTGGAGGGCCTGAAAGTTTAAGGTGTTGCTGCGCAAAAGGGGTCGGACACAGGGCGCAGCTCATGCTAAGAGCTGAGGGAGGGTGTAGAGGATGTAGAGTGTAGAGCGCTGTAGAGCTGTAGAGATGTGTAGAGCGCTCTGGAGCGCCGTAGAGCTGTAGAGCTCTACATCCGCCGCGGGACGAGGCGGGTGCGTTGTAGAGCGATGTAGAGCGCGATTTTGCTGTTGAGTTTGCTGTAGAGGCTCTACAGCCAAACCGCCGGGAAGGCAGTGACTCAAAGAGGTCGAGTCGCACTAATGGGGTGTCTCCGAGCTTACTGGAGCTCTGATGGACGGCCCTGACTATCCCTGACACACAGAGAGTCACTCTGACGGCGCACAACACCCTATAACTGCGTCATGACCAGCCTGCCATGCGTCGCCGGTGCCGCATTCGTCGCAGTGCTTCTTTAGCAGGCGGTGGACTGTCGGCTGCGAGGACGGTCGCATTTGCGCGAGGCGAAGCGAGCATTCAGACGCGTTGCATGCGCCATGACTCGCGCCAGCGCGTGCGGGAGCTCCTGGCTGAGCGTTGAGTCCAGGCGAGTTGCGCTGGCCACGATCGCTACGCCGAGCCGAGCTGACGCGCCGAGGCGCCGGCCAGTCGCAGCCGTGAGGCATGCCATAGCAGCAAAGGCACCTCCCACCCATTGGGCGGGCAGACAGAAGGCCAGGGCAGCACTGGCAAGTGCAACGCGCCTCATGTCGGAGAGCGACCGTGCCTCGTTCGCCGCTGATGCGGATGTAGAGTTTGTTGTAGAGATTTCACGTTGGATTGCGCCTCTACATCGCTCTACAACGCACCCGCCTCGTCCCGCGGCGGATGTAGAGCTCTACAGCTCTACAGCGCTCTACACTCTACATCCTCTACACCCTCCCTCAGGCTAAGAGCTAGAAGGGGAGCTAGAGAGAACGACTACCCTGTCCCGTTATTGCGTACACCAACACCACAAAAGCTCTCTCTCTCCTGTCCTCACTCAGGGGGGTCACAACTACCGTGTCCCGCGACTAGCTGCCACGTTGCCGACCGAGAGCGGATCTCCTCCTGCTCCGCAAGGAGGGTGGCCAAGGCTAAAGTCTTGCCGGAGCCGCCGGGCGCGTTGATGACTCGGAGAAGGTCGCATTTGTACTTGTACTTCCTGTCGAGATGCTCGAGGGGGTGCTTTGTGGGGCGGTGCGCAGCCAGGCCAGCAGTGAGGGGAGGCGCACCCTCTGGCATGTGCTCATAGTCTGAGGGTATCCTAAAAGTTCGGCCGATTTGGGTCAAAGCGCTAACAGCACTGCTACGGCGAGAGGGAGTGTAACCGTCCGCCTCTGAAAAGAAAAAAGAAGCCCGAAAAGAAATCAGTTGCCCAGCCGGTGTCGATATACACGTCGCCCTCCCGCAAGCGCGGCCGCACCAGCGGCGGCGAGGAGGAGGGCGAGCCCGTGGTGGTCGCTGCCGGCTTCCGAGGCGCCCATCTTTGGCGCGCGCACCGTCGGCCAGGTCACCACGCTGGCGCTCGAGGGCGAGGACGGACCTCTGCCATCAGCCCTCCCGCCCCCTCGCCCACGCCCTCACCCCCGCCGCCATCTCACCCTCCGCCTTCGACCTCCGCCTCTGCCGCCGCCCTCTCGCCGCCGCCCTTGTCGCCCCCTCTCCCGGCCCGCCGCCGCCCTCGCCTCCGCCGCCGTCCGGCACTCCGGCTCGCATGCCACCGCTCTTGCTCTCGCCTCCAGCTGCCCCGCCGCCCTCGCCACCGCTGTCGCCGCCACCGTCGGTTGTCGCCGCCGCCGCCGCCGCCGCCACTGCTGCGGCCGCCACCCTTGCCCCCGCCACCATTTTGGCCGCCCCCGCCACGGGCACCACCCTGGCCGCCACCCTGGCCGCCACCCTGGCAGCCGCCTTCCCCACCGCGGCGGTGGCCCCCCCCCCCTGTCACCCCCCCCCCCCCAGTCAAAAGAAAGTGAAATATTTTTTTACAACAAAACTCCCTCGCACAACACTGGCGACTGGGCACGGGACTGTGGCGCACACACTGGCACTAACACAGGAAGAATTTCGAACACTGGCAAACTAGGGATGGGAAGAGGACAGAGTCCCCACCTTGCTCCTTGCGGAACAAGCAAGCAAGGGGCTTGGGAGGATGCCATTTGGGTGGGGGGTGCGGGGGCCACAGCGCGACACGGAGAGGGGGTGGGCAGGATCACCCACACAGGACAGAGGGAGAAAAAATGTCTTGGAAGGACGACGGGCAGCCCAACGTCAAATTTGGAGCACTTGGAGTGCAGTCGGCAACCTCACATCCAGGGCCGGGGAGCTGAGAAGCGCACCCAGCGGGCCGGATGATCGGGCGGGATCGGGTTGCGGGCAAGTAGAGAGCCCTAGCCCTGGGGGGTGCGCGTTCGCAGGGAAAGGGCCATAAAGTAAACACGGGTCTCCGAGGGTTCTCCGCGCTCCAGGTTTCCCCTAGCAGCAGAACGCCCCCTCTACTCGGAGCTAGTAAACACTCGACACAGACTCGACGCCCTAGCGCACACGCACCCGCACGCGTCCCTGCCGCAGACTGGCGCGGCGACAAGGCGATCGAGGCCGAGCATATGCGCTGGAGGCGACGGCCTCGACTTGCGCGCGATCGGCGCCTCGCTCCTCTCGGCTCGGCAACGATACGCGGCGCGCCAGCGTCGGCCCGCTCAAGGCTGCCCCGCACACACCCCTCTCGCCGTCGCCTCCTCCCTCCCTCACTGATACTACCACCAAGATCTGCACCGGGGCCCGCTTCAGCGAGGCTCGCGCCCAAGGCTGCGCCGCGAGCCCCGCGCCCTCCTACTCGCCGGCGCCTCGCGCTCGCGCCGGCGGCCGCGCATCGGTGGTCCGCTTGAGCGCCATCCATTTTCAGGGCTAGTACCTTCGGCAGGTGAGTTGTTACACACTCCTTAGCGGGTTCCGACTTCCATGGCCACCGTCCTGCTGTCTGGAGGTACCAACGCCTTTTGTGGTATCTGATGAGCGGACACTTGGGTACCTTAGCGCGGCGTTCGGTTCATCCCGCATCGCCCGGTCTGCTTACCAAAAATGGCCCACTTTGAACGCGCCGTTCGCCGCCCGGGATCACTCCAGCATCCCGGGCCTCTTGCCCATTTAAAGTTTGAGAATTAGTGCAAGCTGTTTCA